CAGTTAATTGTATTAAAAGATCCATGCAGACTATCTTGTATTATTAATGAGTATAAATCAAGTAAATTAATAACCACAACAAAATGTTGACGAGTACCTAGAGCAACATAAAAATCTGGCAAACAGTGGAAGGTTGTGAAAGAGATATGATGCACTTCCTAAAATACATTAACTTTGTTGACATCAGGATCAAAGTTTGATTCCATAACTCAATAAACTCAAGATTAACGGGATAGCCCAATAATCAAGTATACCTAAAAAATTCTAACATAGAAAAGCCGTCACTTTTAGACATCAAAGTCTTATGCTAGAAAATATCTCATTTTCTAGCAAATCAAAATTTATCCAGCGCTCAGTATTTCAGTCCTTTCCCAGCATACTCAAAGGTAAAACAAGTTTACTCAAGAATACAATTAGAGACGTTACATTTATGGATACTTTCTCATGTTTCCAAGAAACTAAGTCAAAAAAATAAAAACAATAAAAGAAAGAGCTTTAAAGAATTGAAACTTTTGATCAAATATCTCTTTGAATTCACGGTGTAGCTATGATCATTTAATCACTATATTTCAAAGCATTACCGAAAAATCATGAAAATGATGTCCCTGTTCATCAGCGAACATCTTTTCAAAGCATCTTCAGCCTATGCTATTGTCATCTTAATCTAAAGTGGTAACCACTTTATTCTAGAAATATAAATGATTCAGTACTCCATAGAAAGAAACAATACTGAGTTATAAAGCTGTCAATATGAGCTACTATTTCCATTGCTAAGTCTTTAGATTTCATAGGCGACTTCATCGTTATACGCTTTTGAACAGGTCTCCTTGGAGTTTCACTTATCATGAGAACAATAAAACATTTGCATGAGTTTGACTTTATTCATCACAACAGAAAAATTAAATAAGTAAACAAGTGGAATGTGTAGTTGGAACTGTCCCACCTATAGTTGAAAATCGCATTATGTCATATATTAAACCTATGATTTTCATCAGCGGAATCTTTGATTAAGATGTTTCGATGGTACATTTGTAATTATAAAAAGATCATCCTTTAGAAAGTTTCAGAAACTAATAAATATTCTTTTTTGATATGTCAAATTTACATGAAAATCTACAAATGAAAGTGGTCAACTACTATTTTTAAACTATTCATTGCAAGGAATATCAATAAAAAATAAGTTTATTGCTCTATCATAAATCAACACATTCAAACAGATTTATAAATTTTAACTTAAAAATGTCCACTCAGCACTGAACTTTCTTCTGCTACAAAATTTTTAAAAAGGAGGACAAAATTCATCATAAATTGAGACAAACGATTTAAAGATAAGAAATTAAGAGTTTTCATAAATTCTGATAACTGTTGTACGAATACTATTCAGAAGATCATAGCGCAAGAACATATGGATTCAGAACAGAAAGTAACCGATACATCTTGAATTAACATAATAATTTTACCCTTTTGTTACAGTACCAATGACTAATTATTGAGAATCTAATGTCCGTAAGGTGTACATAGAACTAGGCCTTTAAAGGTAGTCAATCACTGTTGCATATGATGATGATATTGGGGAATCATTTATCATTTGTGCTGGAGAGCGTTCAAGCTGCACAAACGGCTTCCAAAGAAATCTGTCGAAGCAGAGTATTTCCGAATAAAATTTGTGACGGTTCATGCTATTCTCAATAGCCACAAGATTTATATTAAAGAAATTAAACCTTTTCAAAAACATTCGAACCTCAAAGAAAAGTCTAGGATTGTTAAGTAGAAATGAAAAGAAAGGCCTTAGCTTTTGTGAAAAATATCAGATTCCCAGAAACATGTGCATGCATACAAAATGAAATTCTCATTCAGGTCAACTTTATTCCCCACTTACATACGCACATACAGACTGAATAAGACGCAACCAGCATTCTTATCTCGTGGTTCGGTTAGAAAAATACCATGTCAAAAAACCGAAGGCTGATGATGTGGCTCCTGTAGCAACCCAGGTTTTCAACTTATCGTCGATCATTACTCTGTATCATCACCTAAACTCAATATTACTAGTCTGCAAAACTGCGGCTCAAATATTTTCATCAGATTAGCATCAATTTTGATGCACTAAGTAAGAATACACACATCGTTCGTACTAACGTTATAATCATCATTATCTTGATGAAATTACGGTTAGCGTGGGCCAAAGAAGGATAAAACAAAATCTTTTAGGACCTTTTTAAGGAGTTTAAAAATTCATCTCAGTATATCCTATTATCATCCGGTTATTTGGTTTTGTCATCTTTCAGCATTTATGTGTACACAGGCCTGATTAATCTGTCAGTCATTTGACAAGAACAGTTCAGGGCCCATCAGACGGTGAGTCGAGCTCAGATCTATGAAGCCATACCACTTCCCTCGAGAGTTCTGATTAGAAATATCAAGAGCCATGAATTCAATGTCTACGGCATCTTGTTTATCCTCTCTAAAAACATATCAACAAACTAACTACATTGAACCAGTGAGTAGTTTTTAAGCCTGGTAACTTTACTGGAAAACGACTGATAGAACTTGGTCTGCACTTAGGAATAGACAAAATAAAATCGGTTACTCTTCACTCACTGTTTTATTATTAGAGATCATGTCAACTGGGTGAAGGAGAGCGGCATAAATAATCAGTGACAACAGAATTCAAAGAAGCAGCTCATAGCACCTTTAGTCACCAAGGATAATCACTTTATTTTTAAGGCACGAATCTGTTCAATTTCCATCTCAAACTTCTTTTAATTTCGTTTTTCAAGACAAGCGGAATTCCAGCCAAGAGAACGATAAATGACCATAAATTTAACAAATGTTTTATAAAAATCTCTTTAAAAATATCATTTCAGTTATCATAAACATAGAACAGTAATCCAGATGAACATTTCTAGTCTTCAGATGAACAAGCCATTATAATACGTAAGTCAGCTTAAATTAATAATCCTTTAACAATTCATATTTTCATTTCCTTACCAATTTCAACAATGCAATGAAGTGATGGATACCATTTAAAACTCAATGATTTGTTGGAATATAATAAAGATAAATGATAATCAGCCATCTTCAAGCTGGAATAATATGCATATCTTACAGCAAAGTCACAGTATTTTCTTGACAGTTAGTTTCTTTCACCTCGTAACCAAATAACGCTAGTACTAAATACTTGATTTCTTGACTAAAATTTCTCGATAAACTGATACAAAACATTTCTAACTGACTAAATTTAACTAATGTACTTTTTTGTCTAATCCTTATGAATGATAAGGTTTATATGTGACACTAAGCGAATGATGAGGATTTGTTCATTGACATCAACATAATAAATTAAGACATCTGTCATGTTTGGTGTAAGTTTAAGATAAGTCAATTCTATCTATATATAAGTGAATAAATAATATTAATGCCAGGAAAGTACAAACCTTGTGATTAATCAAAGAATCTCGTTTCATATGATTATTGAGTTTAATATTTGCAATGTATTAAGAAATGATGATTGAACGATTTCATGGGTCTCATTGCACAAAGCCAAACTTACTTTCTTAACCATATACTTCCTAATTACAAATGGTACATCTTAAAGAGTAAATTTCTCTATATTTAATGTTAGTAACTTCGTGCTGGTTAGTATTGGAACCTAAGAGGCCTATCACGTCATATTTTTCAGGTTTCTTCGGACAAATGTAACTGTATCCTAGTATGGGATGGTGATTCCTTAAAAAATGGAACCAAGTAATCACCAACTGAAATTTCGAAGTGTTGTCTATTTGACTAATGAGTCATAACAGCGACCTCTTGTGTAATGGATATCAGTTATTACTGATTCATAACTATAATTTCTTCATCAACCTGTTACTGCCTCACAATATTTTAACTGTAACAAGCGAAAAAAATAATATATAAAATAAATTATTTTTTCACAGAATGCCATTTTATCCTTATTCATGCTTAGAAAACTCAGTGATATTTTCGAAGCCATCCCACGACAATGTTTCTTCAGTTTTGAGGTTTGCAATAATTTACTGATTTCAAGTTGGCATTCACCATGGACTGACATCAAGTGGAAAAACACTGGAAACATGGGAGCACTGGATGATTGTTTCGTCTTACTATCGAACTCCCCATCAGTGTATAATAACGATCCCAACTGGGGTCAAACCAAGAACCTTCAAGTTCCACGACCAACAAGTTACCAATGAGCCAATGGGTCAAAATTCAATGGTTCATATTGCTCACTTCTCTCAGTTCCTAATATATCATGATCTCTATCCAATACCGTCATTGAGTAACTATCCTCTTATTCTATTTGGTTGGCCCAACCTTTCACGATTTCTCATCGGAACTTGGGCAATCATCTCTTGAAGACAGTCAATAATGAGCATTCGATTTTTGCTAAATAACTCAAATGATGGACATATAAGTAGACAATTAAATGAGCAAACTGATAGAAATGAGAGTATATATTTGGTATATATGAATTCTAGTATTGCACAGCAATATTAGTAATGTTAGTAGGAGTAATAAGAATAGTTATATTATCAATAATAGTAACTATAACGATAACCTGCAAAGGTTCCTCTGTACTAATGTGCGTATTTATTTTTCTGTTTTGTTCCCTCTTATGGCTCACACAAACATTTTTATTTATCCCTTTATCCACCATCTCATTATATCTAATTTTACTCCACTCTATTGACAAAGCATAGACATAAAGAAATAAATTCAGGTGGAAAATGAAACAAGAATATGAAATAAACGAAAAGAAAGATTCAATAAAATAATGGAATAATTTAAAACTGGCCTCTCAGTTATAAAGTAGGATTCGCCTTTATCAACAATACCAGTATGGCAAGAATAACTGTTACTGAAAGTCTGGTAGCAAATTAACTCGTGTACTTGTTGTTCATGTTAGATTAAAATCTTTTCCATAAATCCATATGTATATTATAGTGAATCCTTTAATTATACTCAGTAAAAATTCCGGATTACATAATAGAACACTGGTTATTCCTTAGAGCATTTTGTACAGCTCTAGCAGCTGTAGCCTTGTGTGCTTGTTCTCTACTCTCTAGAATACGCATCAATTCTTTAAAAACATTCATAACATGCCAATTGTATTTAGCTGAACACTCAACAAGTACAGTACGTTTCCACTGTTTTTTAATAATTATATTGACATCACGACGTATATTGTATCGATTATTGTGACTGTTTGAAGTAGTACTCTGTAATGGTCCTGGTGTTGATAATGTCATTGCTGAGGATGATGAAGAAGAACAAAATGAAGGTAAAGCATTCGCTGAATTTGATCCACTGGTTGGTTGTTGTAACGAGTCAATTTTGTTAGCTACTAAAAGTAAGGGTATATCACTAAATTCACTGATAATCTGATCACGTAACTGTCGTATATACTGAAATGATAATTCCGAATTGACATCAAAAACTAGAATAAATGCTGATGCATTCCTCAATCCCCAACCACGATATCTTTCCCACTCATCAATAGAACTTGTAGGAAATTTCTTTTCAATAGGTGGACAGTCTATTAAACGTACATGATAAAGACGATCATTGAATGATATCATGGGATCATAATAATCTGGATTATTACATGTGGGTAATGGATTTCCAGGATCTATACAGTTTATAAATTGTTTAACTAATGTTGTTTTACCAGATTGACGACTACCGAGAATTGGGACACGTAGAATATGACTATATGGTTCTGTGGATGATAAGTCACCTGTTTCACAACTAGGTAAATTACTAGGTATATTGTTACTAGCACTGTTTACAATATTCTTATTATTACTTATTACAGAAATATCGAATTCACTTTGCGTTCGTTTAACAGTACCAACAGTCGCTACTTTTTGAAAAATTTTCAATGGAATCCATTCATTAGGCTTTAATAATGATGATGTTGCTGTTGTTTTTGTCGCTGCTGCTGCTGCTGGTGGTGGTGGTAGTGATGAAGATGATGAGAAGGAAAATGAATGTTTTATCCGAGGACAGGTAAATTTAACGTGATGAACGGTTTTTCTTTGTGTTTTTCTCTCAGTAGGCCTTATTCTATCACAGTCTTCTTTATTTACAAAATTTAAGAAATTTACATCATCCTGACGTAACAATTCATTTTGATTTATCAGTGATTTGATTATTATTCCAGTTGAGTTATTGGTTTTATTTGTACAAGTTGATCCATGTAGCCTTCTTGTTTGTCCTGTCGCCACTGGTCCTCCAGGTAGAGTAATAACGGAAGTCTCCCCCTTTCGATCATAATTTTCATCGTCTTCTTCTTCAACCGTGCTAATTTGTTCCCAACCAGCAAGCCGAGCAGCGGAGCCACTGCGTAAATGTCTGAGCTTGAAAATTTGGTCTGCGATAATTTGTACGCTAAAATTAGTCGATAAGTAGTAGTTGTAATAACTGTTATATTCAAAATTGGAAATCCCAATAAATACATATAGTAATAAAAATTGTACAATAGATGTTTTTCACCTATTTTAATTTTGTTCAAATCCAATCACATTTATAGTTCAGTAAATTTATTTGAGTTAAAGCTGAAATGATGTTGGTAATAATCTCTCAATAGATTGACAAGCATAATAAAAATCATTAACGATAAAAACACCTTCGAGAATTGTTTTTGTTGAGTTGTTAAAAACATTTATACTTAAACTTAAGTTGAAAATTAACTTCACGGAATGTGTATTGCATTATGCATATATCATGCTTCATATAATTCTTCAATACTGTCGATAATAAATAAGAAGGTTTAGTAATAATTCAACTTTTGAAAAGTTGTAATCAAGGTTTAACTTTTTCATTCAAACGTTTTATTTTACTTTCTCAAAATATTCACTGGATTTTCATATCAAAATGGATTTTTATCCAGAAAAGAATATAAACCTGACTTGTTAGTTTAATAACACGTTAAAACTAAACAACCATAAGAAAATCAAAGAGTTATGAACAGGAAAAATGTATGTAGGCATATATATATATATATATATATGTAAGGGTAAAAGTGATAAACATATCAGTTATGCGCTCGCACACACACTGAAAGTGTTTATGTACTTATGTTTGGGTGCAAAGCTGAATTTTCTTCATCTGAACCAATGAGTGTTGTCAAACTATGGTGTACACATTTCATTATTATATGTTCTCATGCATAGTGAGAGTAGGGCAGACATCAAGAGATTTATCAGAATAATCATCAATGTATCCCATTGGTGACTAGAAAAATAAAATGATAAGCCACATTGCTGCATACTTGAGGAAAATATTTTTAAGCAGAAGCAGGGAGATTATTAAAAATGATTTTTGAATATATCCAGCAAAAATATGACCCGATATCTTCACTGACAGAAGTTCAGTAATAGTAATCATAATATTAATGATAGATTGTGGCTAGCAGTGGAATCCAGGATGTGCATTTCGTCCTACTTGGGACTCGTCAGCTGGATGTACCTGCCTCCTAGTGAGTACTGTTGTTCCCACCGGGATTCAGACTCAGGAGTGATCGCTTCAAACGACAGCGTGGTATCCACTACACCACCGAGCCACGATTGCCACTTCTTGTGCGACGGGTATGGTTTTTAGTATAAGGGTTTTTATATACAACAACAACACTCACTGGAAAGCAAGTGGATCCAGCTGATGAGTCCCAAGTAGGACGAAATGCGCATCCTGGATTCCACTGCTAGCCACGATCGATCGTTAACATGATAGACTGCTGACCATATAGAGGGGTCTGCACAAGAACCCTTATTCTAATAGAGAACGGTCAATTCGGTCCAATCAGTGACGATATCATGTAAAAACACTCATACTAGTAATCATATTAGTTAAAAAAACTATTCAAAATCGAACTGGTTTTATTGAAAATCGAGGTGAATAGAGCATAAATTTACACGCTTGCTTAGAAACTAATTGATAAGAAGGTAGTGTCTACTAAAACTTTAACAATCTAAGGAACCAGTGAAAATAAAATAACTCTACATTGATGTACGTGCTAATTTCATATTCAACTGAGCGTGGTGCCTTCACTCTCATGATGATAGAATTGCTATTCGATCACATTTCTAAATTCTATTTTTCATGATGTAGTATGACCGTATTCCATTCTCACTTACGTTATCATAGCATGCTATAAAAGCAAGATTACTATGAAGAAATTTGATGCAACTGCCTAACACCCACACTATATAGATAATGTTTCTTTTTAGTCACCAGCAAACTAAATACCGTATCACATAAGAGTGACAACTAAGTGGAGTAATTCATTCATTAATCTCTCCTTATAAGTAAGAAAAGAGTAAGAAAGACAATAGCGGTAGGAAAAAAGAATCTGTTACATTTCGATGGTTTCTTGCAGACTGCATACAACCCAAAACCTAAAAAATATTTAGTTTCAAAACAGAAATAGTTATAGTTAAATGGTAAATCACTAACGACAAATTCAAGGGAGGTTAATAAACAGTAACAAATTTTCAGTTACTCTCATAATGCAACTGAAGTTCCTCGATTAAATGTAACGATAGGAGTAGTAATCAAAGTATTGATGGGCTCGACATTACAAGATTATATCACCAACTCGTAAGACAAGTTACAAAACGAAACAGGCAGAATACTGTGAATTTTGCCTGGTTAATCGAATACAGTCAATATGAACAAATTATAAGAATGTACTTAATACCATCCCAGCTTGTTCTAAACCACATCTAAAAAGGAACTACAATAGTGTTAGACCGCACTAAAATGTTCAAATTGTATTTCCATATTATTCAGACTTGGTATCATTATGTCATAAAATTTCAGAAATATGTTTCTTGAAACATTTAAGAACCATCGTTGACGACTCCTTCCTCACTTGTTTTCGACCACAAACATGAAAGTGTGTAGCAATAATATCTGTCTATGTGAAGACTATGTTTGTATGAAAAATATGGTTTTACCAATCGATAAGATATAGGTTATTCAAATGGCACCCAGTTATTCAGTGATCAGTGTTCCCAGTGGCGAACCTCTGAAGCCTGAAGTGCTTTTGGATAACTGACAGAAGCTTCCACCCAAATTCACTGTTGACGGTAAGAAGGTTGAATTTTCCTACACGCTAGAGCATTTAAACAGCTGTGATTTTTGCAGCAGGTGTAAAAACGCAGATTTATCATTGTACAGCAATAGAGACAAATTAAAACGATAACTTAGGTACTATTTGGCTCCTCTGCAACATTGATATTACCGTTCAAGATTACCTGTCGTATACAATTCTAAAAGTTCTCTTCAAATTTTATCAAAATAATGATTCACGTCAGACTTATCTTCTTGATTACTTCTGTTTCTGTGGAAATGCTAAGTTTCAAAGAATACAAAAGTTAAATTGAGATAAGGAAGCATGTTTTCGGATAGATGTAAGTTGAAGTTCATTAAGTCACTTCTGTTTTCAAAGATCGTTCCAAGAGCTAAGGCATTTCTTGCACATGCTATGTCACAAAAATCCACTAAGTTTCCTGTTAGTCTGTCATATTTTAATTTATTTCTAGTTAGCAAGATAGTTTCATAGATTCAAGGATGGTATTGTTGGATTATTATTTATCTCGCTATCACAGTTTTTGGGATGGATTTCCATCGACCTTGCGATATAAAGCCACAAGACATTGTCGGCTATGCCATATAAGGAAATCTATGATAACAATGCTATAGTATTACTTCATTTCGTCTAAGATATACTTAAAAATATAAATGGCTACTTCTTCGGTGTACTCATAAGAATGTTTTTCGTTTTGTGGACTTCTTCATTCTTTCAATTCTTGATTGTGACTGTAATTTCTTTGTATTTGGTTTACTTTTTAATGAACCCACTTAACAAAAGTTGTGTTAAGGGCTTCAACCAAAGTCCTAAATCTGTTGTTACTCAAGATGAAACTTATGAAACCTTACTGATCACCTCAGACTGAAACATGTCACTAAATATACTGTATATATGCTATCCACAATCAGTTAAATCAGCTAAGTTCTAATTATATCCCGTCGACATACATGCAAACGAATAATATTAGTGAAAAACAAAATAAGTAATGCAGTGATAATCATATTAAAAGCTACCAGTCAGAACTGGCAAATATTCTCGAAATTCAATTTGGAGTCTTATGAGGACTTATTGGTTGGTTTCAGGTTGATAATCATTATAGACCGACGTCAAGTGGAAAAACACTGGAAACATGGGAGCACTGGACGATTGTTTCGTCTTACTATCGAACTCCCCATCAGCGTATAATAATGATCCCAACTGGGGTCAAACCAAGAACATTCAGGTTCCACAACCAACAAGTTACCAATGAGCCAATGGTCAAAATTGAATGGTTCATATTGCTTACTTCTCTCAGTTCCTAATATATCATGATCTCCATCCAATACCGTCATTGAGTAACTATCTCTTATTCGACTTTGTTGCTCCCACTGGGTCATGGTTGCGCACTTCTAAAGAGTCCCGTGCTTGGACGAAAAAGCTGTCCAATACTCATAGGTTTCCACTGTTTCTCTAACTGATTTCAGTCCATGATGAACACCAACCTGAAAACCTGAAATATCGAAACAAGCATCTGATTCCAGTTCACTTTTGTTAAAAGTATATTTGGAGTAATACATCATTTTTGCACATATCACTTCATACGTGTAGATCACGAGGCTTTCAATGTATAAATTCTCAACTTTTATTGTTACAGTGTTTTCATTATTAATCAGCTATTCTGTTCTCTTGTGCATATTCAGTTTTCGAATTGGATAAAATTAAATATTAAAAATCTTAGTTTTGACCTTGTATGTGACTTTTCAGTATCATTACACTTTATTATGTGCAATATTATGTCGATCATCTTTACTTGTTCTATTGAAGATGTTCTAGTGGTGTCCGAAGTTATCAGTACTTGTACAGCTATACAACATGTTATGCTATCAATACAAATGCTTGTAGATAAATGAAATTATTTAATTCTTATATCATTGATACTTCAGCAAAAACTGGAATAATATGTTACTGACTAAGTGATGTAATGTTTTAAAATGCCACTGAATTGCACAAGATTTAAAACACTCCTGTTTTCATTGCTTTCTCATTGGGTAGTTATGAAGAACTATACATACATAATGAAATTATGGGAACCAAAAAAGGTCCATAAATTTCACTACAATTCTCAAGGTTAAATTATATCCAAACAAACTGATTTCTGTGTAACCTTGAAAACTGACTTATTCAGTTAACTTATGTTAACTGTTTACTTCGTTATCTCTAGAAATATTTATTTCACGCTGAAACTAAATTTACGTTAATTTAATGTCCATCGTGAAATCACATAAGTAGACTTTACAGTACCTAACTGTCTATTCAGTTTTTCGGTAATCCAGAGCTACTTGATATAAATGCCAACCATTGCTCAATATGCAAATTATTCTTACTACAAAATATTTCCAAACCTTACTTCTGGTCAGATACATATTTCATTAAATATTGTCCATACGATGGTGAGAGAAGGAAAAGTAAGTGCTAATAAATTAAAGTTATTTAGGTCATTTTCCATTTTTATTTCTTTCTTAGAACACTGAAATATTTATCCGATTATACATACTAAGAAATATAAGAAACAATGGCAAACGTTTTGGAAGAAAGTAAACAAGTTACTCAAAAAGATTATCACTTTTTCTAATCAGTAATCATTTACATTTTTCATATTTTATTCAAAATCAAAAGATGTTTCATCTATAAGCTGCTATATATCTCTTTATGAAAGGATATCCATTTTTTGACATATTCAAACAACTAGGGACGAAAATTGCCTGCAGACAATATAATTTTTATGACTGACTCTTAATTACTAAAGAAGACATACTTCTTCACCCTTCTTTCTAACTGTATTTATTCAGGTAATAAAAATAATGAAAACTGATGAATGAGTATTTTCAAACTGCCTCAAATGTATACCATTTTTCACTTACTGACAGATGGAATCGGATAAACATCTCATATATGTCCCTGTTGAAATCACACGCTTAGCTATCTCTGAAACATCGTCTAATTGATCATTCTAAGCCATGTCGACGTACATATTATTTAATATTAAGCAACCACTGGGTCAAATAAATAGGCTGTATTTTGATTCTGATCTTATCCATCCTCCCTTTCCGGTTATGGAATTCAATAAATCAATAGACCATAATTTGTGTAAATTGCTACTTCATTTGCAAACAGGTGCTGTCCAAATAACTCATAAACTCATATTTTTCTTAATTAGGCATAAATTTAGTTAGTATATGATTATTTTTGCATCATATCTTCGTTGATTGGACCGAACTGATCGGTCTCTATGGGCATATGGGCTTCTGTGTGGATGCCTAGATATTACCTGTGCTCTTTTGATAGTAGTGATGGACAGTGTTAGCAGTGGAATCCAGGATGCGCATTTCGTTCTCTTTGGGACTCGTCAGCTGGATGTACCTGCTTCCCAGTGAGTAATGTTGTTCTCACCGGGATGATATAAAAGCAATCATATCCTGAAAATTATACCCGTCACACAAGAAGTGGCTTTCGTGGCTCGGTGGTGTAGTGAATACCGCGCTGTCGTTTGAAGCGGTAGCTTCCGAGCCCGAATCCCGAAGGGAACAACATCACTAACTGAAAAGCAGGTGCATCTACCTAAATTGAGTTTTCGGGAAATATATTCTTATATGGAGCATGTTTTACCTTGGTAAACAATAATTCATAGGCCATTATCTCTTGCTCAATGTTCCTAAGAAGGATGCATACACCTTCAGTCCTGATTATACTTTTTAGTGTTTAATAATCCATAAAAGATACCAACTGAAAGCCCTTCTTAGTGGCTAATAAAAATAGGGTTGACTTCAGAAAATCGTCAAAGTGATTTTATTAATAACTGAATCAATATGAGATCCATGCTTTCATGCCTGTTTTTGTATAACACAATTGGAAAACTCTCTCATTGCCACCTACTGAGAGAGCATTACGGGAACAGGTGAATCAGAAAAAAAAACAATCAATTTAAATAGACTCCTACCTACAGGATAAACTCATTTAGATTTCAAACATCAGTAGAAATGAGCATTTAACTCACAAATGGGTTTACGTCT